TGTCTGCTCAAGTTTCCGTATAGAAGCCTCCACATGATACGGGCCTGGAGTGAAAAGAAGGGTATAACCTGAGTAGATTGCTGGATTTTCCACATGTGGTAATTAATGAAAGGTAAGAGGGGTTATATAAATGGAAACATGGATTAATTCAGAGATGTGCTATGTCCAATCAAGCTATAAATTCCACGTAATTGGTACATTGAAATTTGGAGATGGCTGTATTATTGATAAGATAGTACTAGTTAATAGGTAGTTATTAGAGATGAATGAAATTATACTGGATTATAAGAATAGGGATTTAAATGTAATGTGGAATATACATAGAGTGGTGTATGTAATGTTATACAGGTATGTAAATTTGGAAAGGTACATAATGCACGAAATACAATACAGCCCTTCTAGCCATATTTCTGTAACTCCCAGTAAATAATTGGTTGGGAGCATGCAAATAAGGTGCAGAAAACTCTAAGGAGATGATTTGGTCATTTGGGGTATAAGAGTGAGGCATCTCAGAAACAGGAAGAGGAACCCCAGGGGCATTGAGAAAGACGAGCCACCAAGCTTACCTTATAATGAGATGTCTGCTGCAACACCCAGGCAAAGAGACAGAGTAGAGGAACTGGACCCAGAAAATTAGGCAGAAGAGTGGGTAAGCTTCCCAGCCCACAGAAGCAGATGTCAAGGAGCCATATAACTGAGAGACCAAGGACCAGGGAGAGATGCCTGCCAGCATGGCTAAGAAGAGGCACTCTGGACAAACTGTGTCCTTACGGTTTTGTTAGCTTCCCTAATAAATGCCATACTCACACGGATTGTTTGTGAGTGCCCTGTGGTCATGGTGATGGATGATTGAATGCAGCAGAGAGGTAGCGTGCCTTGGGAGGGATCGTGGATGTCAGAATAAGGTAAACATGTTAAAGGTAGAGATAGGCATGTCCGATGACCTCTGCCTTGGGCTAGTGTGAAGATGGATTCTTCTTTTCTTTGCTGAAACTGAAGGAGGAAACCAGACATGCTATTTCTTCTGTATGAAACTTAACTCATAGTGACCCTATAAATAGAGTAACACCGCGTTTAGGGTTTCTGAGGCTGTAAATCTGTAAAGAAGCAGACTGCCTATCTTTCTCCTGTGGAGCAGTTGGTTGATTTAAACCTCTGACTTTTCCAGGCAGCAGCACAAAGCTAGTGCACCACTATCAATGAAAAATTGGAAAATAAAATTAAAAAAAGCATTTATTATAGCATCTAAACCAGCCCCAAACCATTGCCCTAAAGGCAATTCTGACACATGGCAAATTTCTAAGCCAGAGTAGAACTGCCCCACAGGGTTTCCAGGGCTGGAAATCTCTAAAGACACATATAGTCTGTTGGAAAATATAACATATCATTCACTGTATTATTTTTTTAATAATTTAAATATTTTATAATAATTTAAAAAAAGATAT